TACCTACACTTCCTCATTGAATTATAAGTAATTGAGATCAGCTTTGCCTCTTGTGATGAACACAGGTGAACACTTTTCTCTTAGGCATTTCCAGCCTCAATCTTAACATCCTTGACCCAGCCTGACATTCACCTCACCTAGAATTTTGTTCACATCATTCTTGTATTATTTAAGGTACATTAGCCTAATTATTCCCCCAAAATAGAATGGTGAAAAGGCTCAATTTTTCTGAGCTCAAAGGACTTATGTCATATTCAGTATACAAAGAGAATAGTAAGTTTAAATATTGTTTATGGATAACTATTTCAAAGGTAGTCATAACTCAAGAAAATGTATTATATCCGTATTAAAGAAATTAAAGTGAGAAGTTACTTCAGATGATGAGCCTTTAAGCATCTGGGCAGAAGTGTCCCATTTCTTATGCTAAAAGTATTCTTTTGTGAAATGACCATCATCCTACTGCAGAACATGGTAACTTTGACCCAGTATAATGGATACATTGTCAGTTTGATTGGATTAAGACATGCCAAAAATAAAGGGGCTTCTGGTCGACTATGGTGTGTCTAGGGATGATTGATCTGTGAGATGGCAAGGGAGGTGGAGACTCTCATTGGACAAGTAATGCTTCCTAAGCAATATTGTCTAATAGGATGGTGGCTTGGATGGGATTAAAGTTGGAAGAAAGAGCTGGGGTTGTAGCTCAGTGGTAGAGCCCTTTTCTCATAGGTGCGATGCACTGGGTTCCATACTCAGCAACACATAAAAAAATAAGCAAATAAAATAAAGATATTGTGTCCATTTACAACTAAAAAGTTGAAATAAAATAAAGCTGGAAGAACAAACAAGCAGCACCAAATGGCTGCTGCGATTCTCTGAGGCCATCAGCCTGCCCTTCCACTTCAAAGCAGATTCTGCCAGTGATTCATCAGGGATTTCAGGTTCTTCTGATCTTGCACAGAAAATTCTGAGAATCACCCCTCTACTTCTAGGCTTCTAGACCTCAAACAGTGAGAACACATTTTTTAAGAATGAATTGGATCTCATCATTCATGGGTGCAGAGGCACCTTAATAGCTCCCCAGCATCAACATTTGAATGCATATACAAACTAATGTTCAGTCATGCAACAGAATACCACTCAGCAATGGAAATGAACAAAGAACAGGCTATTGAGAGACATGTCACCTTTGGTGAACTTCAAAATAACTATGCTGAGCAACAGAAGCCACACACCCCCAAAAGATGTATGCCATAGGATTATACTTATATAACATTTTATAAAATCCAAAGTAAACAACAGGATCGGAAAGTAACTCAGTGGTTGCTTGGGGAGGGTATCAAAGGATTCTTTTGATTGTGGGACCAGATGTGTATGGCAATATAATCAAATTATATACTCAAAATGTATACATTTCTTAATTGAGACTTATTGCTGAAAAACAGTTTAGTTACAAAATGAAAGTTCTTCCAGCTTCCTAAAAAGGAAGCACCCCATTCTCCACATATAGCCCCGAGACTCACTGTTAAAATCCATCTTAATAGGATCCTAATGTACATTTTTAGGCTCTTCTCCCCTTCTAAGTCCCAAAATGTGCCACTAGCACCTAGCCTATCTGGAATGTGAGCATCTTCCATCTTTCCTTCTCCTAAGCCTGGTTCATACTTTTCCTTGATTTGATGCCTCTATAGAGAATTTCTGGGGTAGGAAATTCTACCTTGTCCTTCAAGGCTCAGCTCAATCTCCACCTCCACCCCTGAGCCTCTGCTGGTACTCACAGGGGCAAGGAGACAATCCCTCCCTCCCTTCCTCTACTCTAAGCGTCTTCAGTCAATGAGCACTTCACAAACACCAGAGTTGAAGGGTTGATGCCTGACCTCTGCCATCAGGCCTCACCATCTCAGATCCTAGGCAGCTCCTACTCAAGTGTCCATACTGGCTGGCCTTCACACATATGATGAAAGAACAAATATAATGAATATTTGATCTGAAGTCCTTGAACTTCTCCTGATCCCAATTGCAAATTTTAGGACAATGATTTGCTAAGAAAGGAAAACAGTCTCTTTTCCAAGTTTTTGACATGAAATTACAACAGGGAAAGAGATTCTGATGCAGACTCAGTGGTAAGACAGACCTACCTCCCACTGAGGGTAGTCACGTGGCTTCAGGGGAAGTTTGTGGGTGCCTGGGAGGAAAGCCAGACAGCCATTGTTCTGGTCAATGTGCTCCATGGCGGTCCAAGCACAAACAATGAGATTGCTGGGCCAGAAGGGGAAATAGTGCAGATCCTGCTGCATGGGGTGCTGGGAAGTCTTCTTGCCTGAAATGAGACTGCTGTCAAAAGGGGTTCAAGCCTCATACTTATTATTCTTTGCCTGAATAAACAACACATTGACCTTCTCCTGAAAAAAAAAATAACCACAACAAACACTGTGAAAAATCTGTCTGAAGGGACAAGTTCCACACTAAAATAGCAGTCAAGATGGTGCTCTGTATCTACACTTGTCTTCTAAGTTTCTGTTGCTGGGTGCTTACCCTCTTTTCTAGGGATCTGCATATACACAATCATCTCTGTTTTGCTTTATTCCTTTATCACTCTATGTATTTGGCACAGAGGTAGCATGCAGTAATTATTTTGTTAAAAATGCTGGACTAATTAAATTAAATTAAACAGACTGTTACAATTATGTTTGAAGTTTCTTTATTTTGTTTTCCTTCAGGTTTTTGTTGTTTTGTGTTTTTGTGGCAGGGGTCTGAGTTTCAGTCTCATAAGAATAGTCTCAATGAGTATTGGGGATTGAACCCAGGGGTGCTTAACTAGTGGGCCACATCCCCAGCCATTTTTATTTTTTATTTAGAAACAGGATCTTGCTAAGTTAGTTAGAGCCCTGCTAAGTTGCTGAAGCTGGCTTTGGATCTGAGCTTCTCCTGCTTTAGCCTTCCAAGTGCTAGGATTACAAAGTGAAATACAGAGCCCAGCTGAGGTCCCCTTTTATGTGGCTGATGCCATAAACAGTTTCCTTAGAGGTCTTACTTAAAAGAGCAATAGTCATCCTGTGTCCAGTCAAGGTCCAGTCAGAAACAATAACCACATGGACATTTTCCCAGCTTTGTTCTAGGCACTTGGTTTCCAGACCACCTCCCCTCAAAGGAAGGACATCATGGAGGAAGACATCCTATCATTTAAACCTCTCCCAGCTGTCAGAAGGAAGAAAAAGTACACAGGGATAAAACCTTCTCATGGCTGATTTCTGCTGTCTTGTAAAAGGATCTCTTGGTGTAGTCCAAGAGCCACCTGCAGTAGAATCTCTGGAGGTGGGTATTAAAAGGCAGACACCTTGGATCTACTTTCAGAATCAGTGTCACTGTGAGAATTTAGAATCAGGGTTTTGGCAAGCAAAAGGCACCAAAAGGACTTGAGTGTGACTTATAGTCACAGCTTTCCTCCTGTAAATAATAATGATGTCTTCAGATCAGGAATGCAGAATCCAACAGCCTAAGAATGGCTGGTGAAGATTAGGGATGTTGAATAGAAGGAGTCTATGATATAAGAACAGTCACTTTTCTTAAACTGTCATTTCAGATAACCATTCATTGGAAGAGTTACAATAACACTAAAAGCAACATCTGATATCACTTTTACTTTAACGTTGATATAACATGAGCTATAATAAGACTTAGCAGCACTCACATTCACTCAATCCAAAGTTTGACAGTTACACACATGAATGATTCTAGAACATCACATTTACCTGTGTTAATTAAACTATCTTTTTGTCTTCCCTCTGTTTAACAAATAAGAGCCCTTTACCAGTATCTGGAGGTTTGTTAATCAGCATTGCGTGCATAGCCATAATATTGGGTCCAGTGAAGCACTCCACATACTCAGAATCTGAGAAAAGGAGAAAGAAAAACAAACTCATTGGAAATCAGAAATGAAGACAAGAGGCATAAAATGTCCACACAAGAAATAAAATGGCAACAGTTTAAACACCAATTAGTATTTCACAACACTGTTGACAAAAAAAAATGGAAATCTTGGAGTTAGAAATCATTCCAGATTTCCAATACACAGCATTCAATGGGAACTTTTTGAGCAAGCTTGAAGTGTAACCTTTCTCTTTTGCCCTACAAAAAAGATAAGGGTTTCTAGGAGGTATCAACTAGGAAGCCCAGGATCAGCTCTTCTGCTAACCATAGCTACAGAGGGTAACCCAAACAGAAGGCAGTGTCTCCCTCCTCCTGGGAGACTCTGCATAAGAAGGGTCCATCATGACTTGGGGACCAAGTCAGAGGACCACTTTCAAAATATGTGGCCACTCCCTCAACAATTCTTCCCTAAGGTTCATGAACCAGGCAGAGTATTGGCCAGTAGGGGGCTTAAAAGTGAACTAGAAAAGGAGGTCTCTGTCCCCATGGAGTTTGAGTCTCAGGAGAAAGAAAAACAGAACATCTGAAAGTCAAGGATGGTAGTACTTCATCCACCAAGAGTTGCCTTGGCTTCAAGTTCTGTGAGCACTTGTCGACTTCATTCTTATCACAGCACTGGAGATTGACTCACTGATGGTTGGGGATCATTTCCCCTGGGCCTTCTCTCCATGGGCTGAACAGTCCATCACAGGTGATTTACCTGTGCAGTCTGAAAGAACGATCAAGGCTTGCCTTTGGAGAAAATGCCCAGTTATTGAAAAACAGCTATGCATATTTATAGAGCCTGGGGTGACTTGACAGTTATGACAGTTTCATGGTTGAAGGGTTTGACAGTTGGCATGGGTGCTTTTTGATTGGTGGGTAAGGATCATGTGAGCCAGCAGGGCTAATCTGATTGGTGGGTAAGGTTCAAGTGAGCCAGCAGGGCTCACCATTGGATGGCAGGATCATGTGAGCCACCAGGGCTCACCATTGGACAGCAGGATCTTGGGGAATGGGGAAATCAGTCTTTGGAGCCCATTCAACTCCCAACAAAGTCTGTCTTCAGGAGTCAAACACTCTGACGGCATTTGGCGATGGTTTTAATAAGTGCTATATAGAATGTCTCTTTCAAATCATTTTAAACAAATGGTTAGGAAACCATGGTGCTCAAATGTGGGAGTGTATAACAAACTTGAAGAAGCAGGAGCTAATTCCTGTGAAAGGTTAACAAAATAGGTACTTGTCACTTTATGCTGCATTGAGGGAAGAATGTTGTTTTTATGCCAACCATACTGGAATTGTAAAAGAATCTATGAGTAAACTAAGAAGACGCCTTGAAGAGCATCAGAAAGAGAGAAAAGCCCCCCCAAAAAATGGTAAAAGTCTTGGTTCACACAGTCCCCCTAATTAACTACACTTTTATCAGCCCTGGCCGGTCCTCAAATAATTCTTATATTGTTGCTAACTCTAGGACCCTGTTTGCTCAACCATGTAGTTTCCTTTCTCCAATCCTAATTAGACAAATCAAACTTATGGTAATCAAACAACAATATACCCCACTAGCAAATACAGAATATGACACCCCCAATAATCACTTTTATAATTAAAAGTAACCAAAAGAAGAAATGAAAAATGAAAGATTAATAAAATAGGTATTTGTCACTCCGTTTTTCTATATGCTTAACAAAACACTGTTGAAATCTTAAGAACTGTTTGCTAATCTTGTTCCGAGAATGTCCTGTCCCCAACTGTAAATTGTTTACTAATCTTGTTCCCAGAATGAGCTGTCCCCAACTGCCAAACTACAAAATGTAACTTCTCTCCCTGTCCTCTCCAAGGAAAATATATAAGCTCTGCTTAAACTGTTCTCAGGGCTCTATCTCTCTTTACTATAATGAGCTCTGAGCCCCAGCATGCTGGTCTCCAAATAAACCCTCCCTTCTGCTGTTACATAAAAAAATCTTTTAAGGTCTCTTCCTCCAATGTTTCGCCAGACCCTTACACCTGAAGAATGTACAAAGAGCTTACAGCAAGTGAGGCTGGGTAGAGAGACTTCTTCTCATGTTGTACTCTCCTGATCTACTTGAAATACGAATTACTTAAATTCTCTTGAAATGCGAATTACTCTTTTTTGTTTATGTATTTATTTTAATTAGGTACATATGACAGCAGAATGCATTTTGATTCATCATACACAAGTAGAGTACAATTTTTCATTTCTCTTTTTGTACCCGATGTAGAGTTGCACCATATGTATGGTTATACATGTACCTAGGGTAATGATGTCCCTCTTATTCCACCAACTTTCCTGCCCCCATACTCCCTCCCATTTGCCCAAAGTTCCTATGTTCTTCCCATGCCTCCCCCCCTCCATTATGGATCAGCATCCACTTATCAGAGAGAGCATACGGCCCTTGGTTTTTTGGGATAGGCTTACTTTGCTTAGCATGATATTCTCCAACTCCATCCATGAAATATGAATTACTCTCAAAGAAAGATAATTTTTAAAAATGAA